TATATATATATATATACATGCATTACACTGGTAAGTCTTTCATTCAATAGGCAGGTAGGCGTTCATTTAATTAATAAGTTTTAATCTTTACTAATGTAATATATATATATATATATATATATATATATATATATATATATATATATATAATCCGGTAGGTAGACGGAACTACTTGGAGCGGTCGATAGCTGTATAGCTGTGCTAGGACGAAGTCACAAGTCATCGTGGCCGAGAGTTTGAGCGTGCTGGCGTTGTTCAGACTGTGGATCACGCTAGATAACATGCTTTTTCCCAGAATCTGGTCTGCTCAGTATATTTTCAGTATAAACCACAGGTTGGCTGGCTCTGTGGGTGTTTTATAAGCACAAATTCGCCTGAGCAAGCGTCTGTAATAGGGATTGGCTAGCTACCCTAGTAGACGGATATCCTTGAAAACGACTGGCAATATATATATATATATATATATATATATATATATATATATATATATATATATATAAGTGGTCGTCTGATCTTGCGCTAATCGTCTTTGCGTGGGTGCATCTAGAGACCACTGGGGTTTATGTAAAACGTTGAGAAAACCTAATGTTTTGAATTATCTATAGTTCTGGCCTTGAGTTTGTTTAATTTACTTATCATTATTTGTAATTATTTCTATATTTGTTTTATTTATTTTTGTATACTTTTCATCGGTTCTAAAACTTTGTATTTAACACAGACCCAAATGCCACCCAAGTTAAAATAGAAGTTACTATACCCACATCCAGAAAGCCACTTCGGTTTCCTTTACTCTCCCTGGGATAAGAGAACAGAAAAGCAACTATGTTGCTCCTGTTAAGACCATAACACTGGACAAAATGCTTCACCCTGTCTCGCTATATTATTAATTGAATCTTGGGGGATGAATCAAGATGGATTCGATGTTTCTGATGGTTCCAAATTCAAATACGGGGTCAGTTCGTTGCTTACACTTTCACACGGATACATGGAGACAAGGTGGAGTAATTGCTAAAGGATCGAATTCAGAAATAAAAAGAACAGAGGTCGAATTCCAGTTACGTGCTAATACCCTTGGGAAAGGTATGAATCCATCTCATTTTCCCCCACCAGCTATGGGTAAATAGCAGGACAGACTGGGTTCTATAGCCTTGGATGGAAACCAATCTAGGAGAAGGATAACTCTGAATTCAAAACATACGGAGACCTTTCAGATTGATTGGAGACATTGTGACATACTGTGAACCAGTTCTCTGTATTCGACTATTAAATATTGTAATAAGATCTTCAAGCGTATTCAACGTTTGGGCCCTTATACCCTTGCGAGAGGCATGAATCCATCCCTTCACCCCACAGCTATGGGTAAAATAACAGGACAGACTGATTTCTATAGACTTGGTTGGCAACCAGTCTAGGAGAAGGAAACACTGAATTCAAACCAGGTAGCACTATCCAAAATGTGTATACATGCGGCTGGGGACTGCTTACGAATCCAAATTCCCATTGAAATACATACCGTCGATTTACACGTCCGAATGAATACGACCACTGCTACGATTGGTCAACTTCAGTTCAGGATACGTTGGGTTCGTTTGATGGAGCTGGCTCAGCCGGTAAGATTGTATCTTTCTTGCCTTGGGTGGCAACCTGTCAAATAAAAAGAAACCTCTGAATTAAAAAAAAAATTGTAAAAATGTCAAAGGGAAACAACTCCATTATCTTACCAAAGAATATATGGAAATTACCAGCTAATAAAGAGATTTAGGGAGGAATCATGATCGCCTACGCCCTGAAGGGACATGGCATTTTTTTTAAAACTACCATTTGTGTTTTAACACATTGGACTGACTGGCTATTAAATATTCCAGCAAGATCTTCAAGGGTGTTCAATGGTTGGTGTTATAACCTTTGGAGGAGGTATGAATACATCTGTTCTCCCCAAATCTATAGGTAAAATAGCTGAACAGACTGGGTCATATAGCCTTGGGTGGCAACTATTCTAGGAGAAGGAAACTCTGAATTCAAACCGGATAGCACTATCCTAAAGTGTGTATACATGCGGCTGGGGACCGCTTCAGTCATTTATATGGCATGCGTGATACACGATTAGGCGATCATGTATCTTTCGATACATGACTGACTATGCAGATTTTTCCCGCAGTAGGTTGCCATTTCTTTCTGCGGTAGACCAGTTGCCACCCAAGGTTATAGAAGCCGGTCTGTCTT